GCGATTTGTTTATTAGGAGGATCGATGTTATTAAATTTTGGTGATTAACGGTCGAGGGGTGGGGAGAGAAAGGTGGTCTTGCGTATCTGCAGTAGGGTCTAACTTAAATGACGATTTTACTTGTTATTTATAATTGTTTTTACGAAACCCATCCCTACCTACGAAATGAATCTTTTCGCCATTTTATAATAGTTAAAAACATAAAGAATATAAAGAGGTTTTTAAAATAAAATATAACAGATGAAGCCACCAAAATTTTAAATGTTGCCTGGAAAGTCGAGCAACTCGTTGCTGGTTTGTTTATGAAAGGAAATGCATTTGGCGTCAACGCTCCTCTTCAGTCCTTATTATGTATAATGGTAAAACTATATAAGAAATTACAGAATGCATTTAATTGTTATTTCTATTTTACATACGCGTACAAGTCATAAAATAGACAAAAATTTATTTAAAATAGGCCTATAACTATTGGTGACTACTGAAATAACTAGTTGTTTGTACAACGTAACAATTTAAATTGTTATTAAACCAAAAAAGAAGCATTCATGTAAGATTTTCATAAATTTTAACATATTAAAACGAATATAAAATTTATTATAATTCATACTCGATGAATAATTTCAGTAAATTTATTATTTAAATGAACACTTGTAATAAAACGTCGTATTCTGTACACGTAAGTAAAAAAGTTAAATAATTTGCCAAGAAGAAAAATAAGCGATTTGCATACGAAAGTACGTAAAATATATTTATTAATTTAAAAACAATTTTAATTAATACGAATTAAAATGTTAATGATTAAATTGATATAACATTTATTCCGCGACGTTCGATGTACGCTGTTGCGAGACACTAGGTAGACTACAAGGACTTGGCTGACGAAACAGAGAAGAACGTAAAAATGATAGTAAAATTTGTGTCAAAATCGCAACTTAAAGGACATACTTTTCGAGTGAACACTCTAAGGTAACATTTTATAACATATTTCGTTACTAAAACTTTAAAATTGCATGAATTTTATCGTAATCTGGTATAGCTAACTCGACACCTATATTGCATTCTTACCCGCGTAATAAAACAATAAAATTGACTTCTCTTCTACGCTCTTTGCTTAACATCATAAAACGTTGCCTACATTTCGCCAAGATTCTCACATTTTCTTACTCGGGGACTTCGAAACGTCGAGAAATGAAAAAATTCGCAAATGTTTTTCCTGCGCGTATCTATGGGGAGGGGGCGATTTTGTTCACCCCGTTTGAAGCTTAATAACTCGCGCGCCTTTCGTCGAAAATTTATGAAATTTTGCGGGGAGGTTCGCGTATTAGGGGGATCGATGCTGCGAAATTTTGGTGATTAAAGGTCGACGGGGTGGGGAGATCGGGCGTCGTCTGTCGAAAGGGATCGGTCTTAATATTTTACTCGTTATTAGCATTTACAATTTATTTTAAATATAAAACTCGTCCTTATCCTCGAAATTAAGCTTTTTATAATTATTTAAAAACTTTTTATATATTAATAAGTAATTAAATACCATAACAGATGGCGCCACGCCAGCAGTTTTAACAATGTTTTGATTGTTAAATTAATTGAAAAATCATGAAATTTTTAATATTTTTTCGTATTTTTGTTAATTATCCGTTACATTTTTATTCAAAATAATGGTTTGTACTTTTTAAAACACTAATTTTCATACATAAGAAAACAATTAATTTATAAAAGTATTTGTTAGATTCACCGACAAAAAATAAAATGACGTTATAGTCTATAATTTCCTACACAGAACACACATGCCGTATTAATAAAGACATTGATTATATTAAATAAGGCGAGCGATCAAAAATCACCCCCTCATATGTTTACAATTTTGGATTCGGGAAAGGTCGAGAAATAAAAACATATTCGGGGGTTTTATCTATGTATGGATTATTAGTGTATATATGTGGGGGGCACGATTATGTTTACCCTCTTTGAAGTTAAATAACTCCTGCGCTTTTTGTCCATAATTTCTGAAATTTTGCAGGGAGGTTTGTTTATTAGGGGGATCGATGCTATCAAATTTTGGTGGTTAAAGGCCGAAAGGGTTGGTGAGATAAAGAGGATCGTGTGTATCTCCAGTGGGGTCGGACTTAATGACGATTTTACTGGTTATTAGGGTTTATAAATTTTTTTTATAATCTAAAATATGGAAAATATATTATTTTTTATCGTGCCAGGCTTTTTTATCTATTCCTTTGTTCTGTTTTATATGATGGTAGAGACATTTGTCACCGTAAACGCAACCCGTGGTTCTCCAAAAATAGCATTCGTTTCCGTTGACTGGTCCACTTACTTTGCTCGTTAGGGGTGCTTTCGTAATAACAGGCTTGTCACTGTAAAATAAAAAAAGAACAGAATATAATCGGCGCTTTAACGGCTCTTATATCTTCGATACGGTAAAACCCCGATTTAACGAACAAAATTTCCGTTTAGTATGTCATATGTAAAAATCACACCCTGTTAATTTTAGAAAACTTTTCTGTGCAATTAAACTTCTCGTACGTAAGTAAAACACAAACTAATCTGCCAATTTTTTAACACGCGCCTTCGAAAAAAAGAAAATACATCATTATAAAACGGAGTTCCGGCTTTAATCGACACCCCTAGCTGCAATTAGTCCGTTAAATCGAAGTATTACCGTACAAGAGTAATGCTGCACTAAAATAAAATGTTTTTAAGTATTGTTAAAGACAATGACATCGAAAGAAGAAGATAAAGATTTCTTTTCTGCTCTCGTTTGTAATTTCTCTCAAATTTTACGGTCTATGCCAAAAATAAATGTAGCAACAATTGTCAACACAAAGGAATTAGCATATTAAGGCTATACAGCTGGTCAAAATTTCCTTTTAGTCACGAACCCATTCGACAATGGAAAGTATAGACGAGTGATTGCAAACGGTATTGCTATAACAATCACACCTTCTGATAGATCCCCACAGTGACAGACTAATCCTTACCACACAATTACCCCGCTAGCGCAGTTGGCAGGGGTTGGTCTCCTGCGACAGTGCAATGTATGGAATATTTATTGTATAGAGATTAAATGAGAGAATAGAAAACAAATACTTGGCTCTCTGTTTGTCTGTGCATTTTTGAAGGGTTGGTCCCTTCAAAAATGCACAGACCTGTTAGAAACCAGATAATTGTCGACCGAAAAACAAGCTCAATAATACAACTAGCACGAACAGTAAAATTCGAGCTTCTAGTCAATGAAAGATTCAAGTAATTGAGACTAGATCTTCTAAATGGAAGCTTTGAACTGCCCAAATAATGCATTTATTAAATTAAAAAGTTCAAGTTTCTATAATAGATAGTGCAAATTCAAAGGTATATTCATAGAGTAGAAATTCCTTATTGTAATTGGGTATAGAGTAGAAATTCCTTATTGTATTTGGGATTAGCATGTACTGACAATAATGAATGATAACATTAAGCAGTGCTTCTTTTAATTCGCTAATTAAAAATTTAATAAATAAATACTTTAACATTATTTAATTAAAATTGAGTTCTTTTATCTTCAAGAAATAAAAAAAAAAAAATTAAATGACAGAATAAGATTGTAAGATATGTTCCTCTTAATGTAAATAATCCATTATTTAATTGTTTACGAGAATATTGAAATCATTGATTAAACAACAATAAAAAATAATGTTTGATAATGTAGCTTTATCTAATGGATTTGATGGAATAATTCATAATAAATTCTGATTGACATCAATTTTACCTAATGTAAAACTGCGTGGAAGAGAAATAAAAGCAAAATACAAAGTAAAACAACCAAGAAAAAAAATCACAAAGACAAAGCAAATAGGAGCAGAAAGTGTCATTGTCTTAATACAATGAAAACAATTAATTGTAATTAATTTTGTTATAAAAATAAAACTATTATTATTTTATCTACTTATTAGGTAAGAATTAAATNTGAAAGAAGAAACAGAATTATTTAAACGCAACCAAGAAGCCTTTTCGTTACCCGCCATTTCTTCTCGTAACGCAACCACCGAGGGTAGAGGATCTTTTCCTCGGAGTGCCAAATCCGTAGACGTTCTGAGAGAATTTCATAAATGGGATGACTTTGTCCGAAAGTGACCGAAGAATTTTCTTTAATAAAATTGGAAATTTCTCGCTTTGTACTGTACTGTACGTGCATTCGAAAATATAATACATTCGTCGATTTTTCCATCTCAGAATGAACGAAACCGACGGAAAAATCGCGTGTTAGTAATTTCAGAAATTGCCTAGTCCTTTGATACCAAATATTTGGTTCGAAGGGTTATTAATCGAAGACTAATTTAAATTATAATAATATAGTCTAAACGATCTTTCGAGAAGGTTCAAATGCGTAATCGAGGTAGGGAAGACGGGGACAACAGTAACAAACATCTTTTCCGATGTTTTTCGTAAGACACAATACGTGAAAAAGGCGCACACACTCATAAAGTAATATCCTCCTAGTCCATCTCGGTAGTTCAACAGATTCCATCACCGTGACTTCTGCCGTGTGCGCAACGTGCCATATCGAGAACGACACTACTTTCTGGAGTGCCATGTGTTGGAAGACGACCGGCTCCTCCTCCCACAAGACCACAACTGGCCCTGCAATCTGGATTAATCCAGACGGATAAACTCTTTAACGCCATAAAAAAATTTAAAAGAATCTAATCCATTGCTACTCGACCGTACAGATGTGAAATAGTGCCTTACCTTCGCCGTCGGGCCTGTATTTTCGTACACATCTGTAAATAACTGCGTTTTCTATACATTTGCTCTGTGCTCTCTGCTCTGCGAGGGACAGCGTGCCATATTCGAAGAAATTATATTCCTCTCGAACAATTCCGTAGTGTTGTGGCACTTTAAGTTTAATAAATAATTATAAATTAGATCTGGCATCTCGTAAATCATGACTGTATTCATTAACTAACGTAAGTAAAACATAATAACTTGAAAAACATCAGCGATATCGATTTTAAATATATTTAACGTTTAATAAAATTAAATAAAATATTACACAAAGAAAACAGTGAAAAAAGACTCCTTTTGTGTACTTTGGAGTGTCCATTCTAATTACTTTGTTTAAACATGGCGGTCAGCGCAACAAAGGCACCGATAACAAGTGCGAGTACTCTATACTAAACATTAGGGCATGAGGCCCCAATTAACTGAATACGAACTTCCGATGCAAACCGAAAGTCACGTTATTTCTGTTACGATTTTTATTAATCGTACTCTCTATTGATTGGATGGTTTACACTTTATAAATCGATAAGTGCGACCGTACATCCCTACAACTCTAAGAATACATCAAAAGAGGTGACGTTTCTTGTGGAAGTGACGTAACATTTCCTTCTTGTAGTCATATCTTTAAGTTGCAAAAGGGAAGAGAAGACGGAATAGAGAGAGTGGGCGAACTGAAAATATAAAAAGATATTGCATTAGCGTAAAATAAAATAGAGCAATGTTAAAAAAGTGTGTGACTAACTTTCATCAGGAAGTGCTTCTTCACGTAGAAGAAGCCTCCAACTGATATGCCGAGTGGCATTGTCCCGAATCTTTTCATAAAAGTTAGAATCTGAAAGAATAAGAGTTAAAATATGCGGAAAACATTTACAAATTTACGTACCAAAATAAGTTACCTTTAGTTTGAAGTCCATAGGAAGATCGGATGACGAGAATCTTCCGATCTGAATGAAATTGCTGTAAATCTGCGAAACGAAAAGGCACGGTATCAATTGGCGCCGCTTTTCTATGAGTTTATGGAGAACTTACCATAGATGCGAAGCGAGATAGCAAAGAAGCGATGAGGATGCAACCGACTGCACAAAACACGGCACCAAATCCTAACAATTCTTTGTTGGGCATTTCCGAGAATAGGAATATGTACCATAAATAGCAAGTCAAATGACTCAGAACCAAATACAAAACGGGCGTCAAGTTATTCCACGAATTGTTAATTTCCCTAAACGTGTCGCACATTTCTTGATGTCTGTCCATCACGTCTTCTAATCGTATCTTCAACTTCTCGCTGAATATACCCAGCGATGCTAATTCGTATTCTATATATTTCAACCTTTCGAATATCAAATTAAACAAAATCGCCATGAAGAAAAACAGGAATAAAAGCTGACCAAAGGTATAAATTTGCCACAAACCGTTCCACAAAGAGCACAGCAACAAAATCCACGGATCGGAGACTCGGGTTTTCATGGCGGGTATAAGCATCAAGTCCAAGTTTACGGATAGGACCATCAACCAAACAAACAGCTGCACCAGCCCCAAGTAAACGATACTTTCCATGTTTTCGAAATGACGTTCTTCGTTAGGGTAGACTTTACGAGTCGTCCACCTGAAAACGTTTCTCTTCACGATGCCAAACTGAATGGCGACGTACAGATCGACCACTACGAAGGTCATCTTAACTATATGGGCACCGTGACCGTAGACACTACTCCAACCCGCACACAATACTTCTTCGTGTAAGGTGTCTACGACTAGCTTCGCGGCGATACTCCATAACAGGACTTCTACCAGGAAAACGTAGACGCGATAGGCGCAATCAAAAATGGCGGAATGGCGACGATGGCAGGAGCAGGGTCTTATCAGTTGCAAACCGAAAATTCTGCCGGCTTTTATTAAAGGATCGAGGGCGCAAAGAGGGCTAAACGACATTTTGGGACGAGCAAAATCGTAACTTTTACCAAATAGGCAGCCGGCGGAAAGAGGAATGACGACGTTATCGAGAAAAAAATTCAATAAATGACAAGAATTCGTTAAAATATTTCACTTTCCGATAATAACGTTGCCGTCCGTAATCTTCTACACTAATGGACTTTCCGTATAATATTTTGTAAAATAGGGCACTTCGTTATACCGATGTGTTATCGACTGTTCTATTCGTCACTTACAATTTGAATTTCCCAACTTGATATTTCAACTAGAATAATTAAAATGATTCCATTTGGCGTCATCAATTTGCTCGAAAAGCAATCAATTAATTGATTGATTATCGATCAACGTAGAAGGTTTCCTCTTCAAAGGATATGGATACCACAAGAGCCAGTTACGCGAACATTTTCAGTTTAGAGCCAATTAAAAATAGTTTCGTGACGATATTGTTTGCTTTTTCCCATTTTAATTGCAGATTTTCCCATATAAATTTAATTTTAAAAGTAGAGGAGAAGGTGGTATTATGGAACACTGCGGGTATTATGGAACCACCCCATTTGAAACTGATAATAAAGGCGAACTGTAGCGGAATATGGCTGAACTGAACTAGGCAGACATCCATAGCAAGGGGAAAACCCGTTTTACTTCAGTTAAACGGTAGTCCGTATTTAATCAGCAAATTTGAATTTTTTTCAAAATTCAAAAGTTTTGAATGCTAAGTGAATTTAATTATTTTTAAAATATAAATCGTGTAGTTGTAGGTTCACGGGTGCATGTATTCCGTTCCAGAGACTTAGGGGTACATATTAATCTGTGTGATGTTCACGTTTTTTAAATTTTGGTTTTGACAGACATAAGTTAATTCGAGATGGCGATGCGTGAAATACGGACCCTTTGGTGCTTTTACAGTAATGGAACTCAACTCCTCCGAACTCTCTCTTTGCAATCAGACATTCGTCCAGAGCAATTTGGGAAAAAGACACTAGGTAGAAAGTCTGAAAATATCAAAAAAGAGCTGCTGGAATTTATATTGTTGATGGAGGTCATATTTTTCTATTATAAAAGCATTTTTGCGATAAAATACATTGGAGTAAATAATTTTGTAATTATTTAACATTTTTTGTCCTTTCCTGTTTGTTTTTGGCTACATTAAAGCATTTTTTTGAAAATATACAGTAAGGTTCCATATTACCACCCGATTTTCTCTAAGCCTACTTTCGGACTTTTTGTACAAAAGCCTTCAAAAACCATACTTATAATTACACTAGCGAAAAATCCAATTAGGAACGTTTAGTTTACTAGTTACCAGTACTTTTCGCACAAAAAATGTGGGTGTAGTTATAACACCTTGTTTACAATTCACTAAAATGTAATTGGGGTTCCATAATACCATAAATACCATAATTCCATAAATGTGGGTGTAGTTATGATACCTTGTTTACAATTCACTAAAATGTAATTGGGGTTCCATAATACCACCTTCTCCTCTATCGACTTCTTCCCATAAATCATGCGCTCTGCTTAATTAAGGTACAGGGAATATTTATGGCACATTTCCTAATAATATGCTTCGTCCCAGTCTCTCACATTTCTGGAAAACCTTCCTCTCATTTTTCTGAATTTCTATTTAGCCAATCTCGATTATAACAAAAACTGACCGTCAATATAGCCTACTGTAGCCAAAAATATGCAAATCTCAAATGGCTGTTGAGATATCTACATCTAAGGTCGAAATTAAGGAATTTTTCTTGTATTTTCGGGCATATTTATCCTATATTTTAAAGTATACAATTCTCATTACCTGTTTCTTTAATAGCATTGTATTTAAATTTGCGATTATACTAATAAGAAATAAATAATAGTCGGCTAAATAATAGCACAAACACAATTACCGTAATGATTCAAATGGGAACAATTAGAGATTATGTTTCCATTTGAATCATCACGGTAATTGGCTGCAGATATCATGTGACTTTGACCTCGGTGCCTCTGGCCAAGGTCATCTAGAGCAATGTTCCGCAACCCGGTGTGACGTGAACTTTTACATTGTCTATTAATCTCAAGTTTTATTTATATATTTTTATCACAGTTGTTGTGTTTATTATGCTTGTATTTCATTTATTGATGAAATAAGTTGTTGTTAAAGCAATAAACACATATGTCGTCCCGGTACTCACTTATTCTTTTGGAGTTATACATTGGACTCACACAGATCTTGAGCAACTCCAAATGAAAACAAGAACAACACTAACTAAGCATAAACATCATCATCCAAAATCCGCCATGGAAAGATTAACCCCTCCACGTAAAGATGGCGGACGTGGCCTGATCGATATAGTTAACCTCCACTACAAACAAATACAGACATTGAGAGTTTTTCTACAAAAAACAAGAAACATTACAGTTACATAAAGCAGTAACTCTAGCAGACTCAAATAATACACTATTAAATTTACATTCACAACGTATGGATACGACACAACATATAAATAGCATAGACACCGTTAAGCAATCGTGGGCTCAAAAGGCACTCCATGGCAGGCATCCTTACAACCTGGCCCAGGATTTTGTTGACAAAACTGCGTCAAACAGCTGGTTAGATCGGGGATGCCTCTTTGGGGAGACGGAAGGATTCATGATTGCCATACAGGATCAGGTCATAAATACTAAAAACTACAGAAAACACATACTCAAAGATACAACACTCACAAATGACACATGCAGAAAATGTCACATCATGCCAGAAACTATACAACACATCACTTCTGGTTGCAAGCTCTTGGCACAGACAGATTACTTACATAGACACAATCAAGTAGCAAATATAATACACCAAGAGCTTGCAAAGAAACACAAATTGGCAGACATCCACGAACCATACTACAAGTATATTCCACAGACAGTATTGGAAAACAACACGCACAAAATGTACTACGACAGAGCCATAATCACAGATAAAACAATTTACCACAACAGACCAGACATCACACTCATTGACAAACAATAAAATCACATACATTATAGATATATCTGTTCCAAACACTTACAATGTACACATGCAGTGTAAAAATCAGCAAGTATACAGAACTCGCCCAGGAAATAAGGTATCTGTGGAGGATGGAAAGGGTGCTTATTGTACCAGTACTTGTCGTTTTCTCCTCTACAGGTACTGGTCCTCACACACGCTACACAAAAGCCTGGGAACATTAAAATTGAATAGAAACATATACATCACACTACAGAAGGCCACTATATTGAATACACGTCATATTGTCACGAAATTCCTGAATACACACACACTTATTATAATACATCATATTTTACTGTAATTGTGTATATATATATATATTATTTTGAAAACAAAGCTCATTTACAACTAATTTATTCATTACTAAGCTGACTAAAGCTTTCTTTCCATTTTTTAGTGCCAAAAATTCGCATTCTGAAATATCTGAAAGGTATTTATTCATATTACAACAACAAATTCTTGCTGTCTGTATCATCTAGACGGCCTTACTCTGTCTCTCTCCTGAAGCAGCTCTTAATTTCATTACAGTACTTGTATATCCTTATATACATATAAACTAGCTCACGTGTGTTTATTGTGATTTCAAATATACGTATAAAATTAACACACAACAACTATAAGGATCATTATTTACTGTACTTGGCATAAACCACGCGAATTATTCATAAAATGATAAGCAAACAACCGAATTATAAACGATAATACTTCACCACTCCCGACATCTTTGTTTCGCTTTGCAAAACTCGGAACGAAGATTAAATTCCAGTGATAAAGAAGCACAAATCCAGAACTACTAAAGTTATAAACAACATATAACTTTATTACTATTTTCAAGTATATCATAATAAAATTAAATTTATAAAAGAGACTAAACTTACAGCTAAAGCGAGAGAAACAAAAATTGTACTTACACCAAAATTCAAGTATTTTTTTGAAAAAAAAAAAAAAAACAAATGATAAATGCAACTTTGTATCTTACATACCATTGAGAAAATAGCGGTAGATATTTGTATAAATATTTTGTTTGTGTGAAATCTTTAGGGCACATTCGGATCGACCACAGGAAAATTTGTTACGAGTGAGAAAGAGCGAAAAGAATAAGAAAATCTGAGTAGCAAAACTTGTCTGTACAGTCATTCAATGTTCATCTTGACCGATAAATCATTAAAATAAATAAATAAAAATAAAATTCCAGGCAGAAAGCGCGTACAGAACAAAACAAAGGACTTTTGCCACGTGAAGTTATCCGGACACGTCACCAACCGAAATTGTTTATATTTTTTTTATAATTATTTTAAAATATTTTAAGTAATGTTGAACTTTTGGAAACGTTTAAAACAATAACATGCGATAAAATTGGATATTTTTTGAATCCCAAAATATGGAGACGAAGTCCGAACAAAAGAAAACAAAAAAAAAAAACGACAAAAACGTTTGGCTTGGTACAAAATTTTTCAAATAGTATTTTGTTGGGTTTATAAATTTTTTTTATAATCTAAAATATGGAAAATATATTATTTTTTATCGTGCCAGGCTTTTTTATCTATTCCTTTGTTCTGTTTTATATGATGGTAGAGACATTTGTCACCGTAAACGCAACCCGTGGTTCTCCAAAAATAGCATTCGTTTCCGTTGACTGGTCCACTTACTTTGCTCGTTAGGGGTGCTTTCGTAATAACAGGCTTGTCACTGTAAAATAAAAAAAGAACAGAATATAATCGGCGCTTTAACGGCTCTTATATCTTCGATACGGTAAAACCCCGATTTAACGAACAAAATTTCCGTTTAGTATGTCATATGTAAAAATCACACCCTGTTAATTTTAGAAAACTTTTCTGTGCAATTAAACTTCTCGTACGTAAGTAAAACACAAACTAATCTGCCAATTTTTTAACACGCGCCTTCGAAAAAAAGAAAATACATCATTATAAAACGGAGTTCCGGCTTTAATCGACACCCCTAGCTGCAATTAGTCCGTTAAATCGAAGTATTACCGTACAAGAGTAATGCTGCACTAAAATAAAATGTTTTTAAGTATTGTTAAAGACAATGACATCGAAAGAAGAAGATAAAGATTTCTTTTCTGCTCTCGTTTGTAATTTCTCTCAAATTTTACGGTCTATGCCAAAAATAAATGTAGCAACAATTGTCAACACAAAGGAATTAGCATATTAAGGCTATACAGCTGGTCAAAATTTCCTTTTAGTCACGAACCCATTCGACAATGGAAAGTATAGACGAGTGATTGCAAACGGTATTGCTATAACAATCACACCTTCTGATAGATCCCCACAGTGACAGACTAATCCTTACCACACAATTACCCCGCTAGCGCAGTTGGCAGGGGTTGGTCTCCTGCGACAGTGCAATGTATGGAATATTTATTGTATAGAGATTAAATGAGAGAATAGAAAACAAATACTTGGCTCTCTGTTTGTCTGTGCATTTTTGAAGGGTTGGTCCCTTCAAAAATGCACAGACCTGTTAGAAACCAGATAATTGTCGACCGAAAAACAAGCTCAATAATACAACTAGCACGAACAGTAAAATTCGAGCTTCTAGTCAATGAAAGATTCAAGTAATTGAGACTAGATCTTCTAAATGGAAGCTTTGAACTGCCCAAATAATGCATTTATTAAATTAAAAAGTTCAAGTTTCTATAATAGATAGTGCAAATTCAATGGTATATTCATAGAGTAGAAATTCCTTATTGTATTTGGGATTAGCATGTACTGACAATAATGAATGATAACATTAAGCAGTGCTTCTTTTAATTCGCTAATTAAAAATTTAATAAATAAATACTTTAACATTATTTAATTAAAATTGAGTTCTTTTATCTTCAAGAAATAAAAAAAAAAAAATTAAATGACAGAATAAGATTGTAAGATATGTTCCTCTTAATGTAAATAATCCATTATTTAATTGTTTACGAGAATATTGAAATCATTGATTAAACAACAATAAAAAATAATGTTTGATAATGTAGCTTTATCTAATGGATTTGATGGAATAATTCATAATAAATTCTGATTGACATCAATTTTACCTAATGTAAAACTGCGTGGAAGAGAAATAAAAGCAAAATACAAAGTAAAACAACCAAGAAAAAAAATCACAAAGACAAAGCAAATAGGAGCAGAAAGTGTCATTGTCTTAATACAATGAAAACAATTAATTGTAATTAATTTTGTTATAAAAATAAAACTATTATTATTTTATCTACTTATTAGGTAAGAATTAAATAAGATTTATTTATTATATTATTATTAACAAATTTATATTTAAATAAAGAGAAATAACATTCTAATATTCACCATCCCAGTTATTATTTTTTAAATACTTTTAAAGTAGAAAGAAAGACCAAAAAGGAAACAAGATATATTTTATGATAGCGCAGAAGAAACATGGGAATATTTTAAACTAAGAATGATTGGTACTTATATGCTATTCTTATTTTTAAAAGAAATCTAATGTAGATAAGAACAAAAACATTGATATTTCAAGATACACTTACTTTATTAAAATATAACAGGTTATGACATGCTAGAAAAGAAAAAAATAATTAAAGAAACGTCAGAAATATTGTTAGAAATATATTAAATTTTATTTTAAAAAATAGCAATAAAAGTTGTTTACTCAAAGGCAGTTAAATGTTTAACAAGTAAAAGAAAGAAATATCGTAAGAGAGAAAAGACAGTTTAATAATTTATAGAATTTCAGACAAAAACACAATTAAATTTCAAAGAGAAGAAAAGATTGAATGTCTTTCGGTCAGTTTTATGAAATTACAAAAAGCTTTTATCATTATAAGAAACATTTATTGAGAAATAAAATATATTCTACCATAATTTCATTTATGTAGTTAAACTAACAGAATTATTTCCATTATTAATGTGTATAATGTGACAAATATTAAAAATTCACTTTTTTTAATGCAATTTATTTATTTAATTGAATTTGATTTCTTTCTCAATTAAACACCTGGAGAGTTTTCACTTCTTTTAATGGTGACATTTATCCGATCTCCTTAATGATCTTTTCGTGTGTTTAATAAAAAAAATTCATTTCTTCTTTAAATGCAAAAATAGTCATTTCTACTTTAATTTTTATTTAGTAATTTTCTTTAATCTTTACATTAAATTTGTAGATTCTGAATAATTTTTTCAATTATTTTTCTCTGTAAGATTTTCTTTATTAAACTGGTCATTACTCTTAATTCTAATAAATACAATTTATTTTCTTCATTTAGAAAAAGCCAATTTAGTTTCTGTATTGCATTTTCAGTATTGATTTATATATTATGTTATGTATAATAATTGAAAGAATAATGAGTTTTGCTTTGCATCTTATTTCACTCCATTGTGTATCGTGTCGATTAGTAAACAAATTATATTTTGTAATAATGACATATATAAGACGTAACCGTTATGTAAATTCACCGTCCGACGAAGTCTCGATATTTGTTATCATAGACAAAAATCTATTGGTTACATCAGAGACTGCTGTGGTATTTGTGATGTCGATCGTGTTGCGTTTTATATTTATTCCCGAGAACTGTCGTTGAAATCGTTCTACTCTTCTATAAATAAATTTCAATTTCTTGCACAAATATTTATTTTTGTCACAGTTTATTGTGCAAATATTTGTGCACTGTTCACTTTTCTTTGCAATGATGTAAAGACTAATAAATTTTTCTAAGTGAAAAAATTAGGACATTCATTAGATATAAAAATAATGACTATTAACAAAATAATGATGATAAAAATGTACATACACATTATAATTAAAAAACAATAAATGTTTGAAAAAACACACAGTACAACCTAAGTTTAGTGGATGCTTTTGGGAAATCTGATTGTTTAAAAGCTGCTGAATATTTTACAATATGGCTTTTTAAATAATTGATACACAACTTTATTGTAAAAACATATATGATAAGAACTAAAATCAAAAATAGCCAAAGAATCTCTGAAATTAAAATGCTGTTTTTATTCAATAATTAATTAACATAATTTGGAACCGGAATGGCTAAGTGCCATTTTATAGTAAATTTAATAATTAAAAATTATTAATTACAAAAAATCTAAAAGAAGAAATTTGGTGTAGAGTAACACTTCACAATGCAACTACTGCAAACTAGACAGGCAACAATGCCAATTTTTTAAACACATGACTCATTTGAAAGCAGATAACAACCTGCTCTTAGTACAAAGCATGTAACAGCTCTCTGATTAATGAGTCAAGTTCTAGCCCAATAGTTAATTTGTTTTTATGATTTCTTTATTACTAATGACAATAGAGATGGCCTTGTTTAAGTTATTAATATTAGATTTGTATAAAAGAATAACATACTTATTTTTCTTTTAATTAATTGCAAAGCATGATTTCAATCAAAGGTTTTCTGATGAAAGTGTAATGCACTACCACTTCACTGCCTTGACAATCTTTTTATTTGTTCATAAAACAATGCAGTTTTAGAAGAACTGTATATGTCATTGTATAAATGTCATTAAAACTCTTAATATGAATTAAGATCATCTTTATTTATCTTCTAAAGCATGACACATCCTGATAAATTTTTAGACTTACATATAGTATTCTATAACAATCTGTTGTGAAATTATACCTGTGTCTACATACATTATTAAAATTTAAATAAAAATTTTATATTAAATTAGTTATTTTAATCAAATTCAATAGAAAAAACTGAAAATCTTAAAATTGAAATTCTATTTGACGTCTACATATTTTCAATTATTTTGGTACTTATACTAAAATTCATATAAAAGCACTTACCCTGATTTTGTTTTCTTAGTAATTGCAACAATTGTCTTAGGAGGCAGAGGATTGTTTGGATATCGTATCACAAGATTCTGTCCTGCTAATTTATATCCCTGAAATAATAATATTCATAACCTTTTAAGTTCATTAATGATAAATTCTAAAACACTTTTTTTTATATGTTTTTGTTAATCATGTAAAGATTCATAAATAAAATGTAACATTCTCTTTCAAAATAAAATTTTATATATTTATAGTAAAATACTATAGTAAATATCACAGTTACATTAGGTCCCAGGGAGGCCCCATGGTTTGGGGAGGCATCTTGTTTGATCAGTGTACAGCCCTGGTGCACATTTCCAGTACCCCGATAGCAGACCAGTATGTCACATGAATTGTGGGCCTGTGGTTCAGCCACTGGTGCAGGCTGTACCCAACATGGTGCTCCAGAAAGATAATGCCCAACCATATGTTGCATGATAAACTCTCACCAGCCTTGCTGGATCTCTCTCCTATTGAATACCTGTGGGACCTCATCTGACTCATTTGGAAACCACCACCACATACCAGGCAACACGCAGTGGATGCAGCCTGGTAAGGGATACCTTAGGCAACCATTAATTGCCTCATTGATAGTATGCCTCACCACAGTGGCCCATAAAGACTACATTCGTTATTGAATAAACAGGTCTGTTGCATATCTCTGTTCTTTTAATCATTTGCATATATCTGTCACCTCTACTGGTCCTGTAATTTTCATGTGGCTATACACATTCCTTTGTGGTGTTGCAATTTCATTTTTGAACAGTATATTTAACTGTAATATGCTCAGTTCCTATAGTTTCAATTATGCTTTTATATTTTTGAACCAAATCAATAAAAACACTCTTCTCTAAATTTATATAATTTGAAGCTCTTACTTGCTTTGATTTTGATTCAGCAATATTTCCTGTGTTCAAAATTAGAAAACAAACATTCTTTGCTATATTATCAGCTATATTTTATTATGTAATTAAGTGCATTTGAATTCAGCATCAACTTTACTTTGACATTTGTTATACAGTCTCTCTTCAATTAACAAAGTGCTTGATAATTTATTTGGAATATTTTTAATCAAGTATCCCAATCAGAAAATTATGCCAAATATATTAAACAAATAAAATTATAACAAATTTTTTGTTGTTAATAATTAGATTCATATAAAACTAATATTAATAAACTGTTTTCTGAATGTCAATTTTTGATGCAAAACAGCAAAAATTTATTTATCCTTTCACAAAGCTTCCAAGTTAATTTTGGAAAGTAATTTTACCAATTATCTTTAATAATCATTAAATTAACCAAACTATGGGAGTGTATTTTAATTTGAAATATTGTAATTACTGAAGGCTTTATACTTTATATAACAAGTGCCAGCTGTTGTAGACTTTATTTATTTACTCTAAATTCAAGGAATAATATTTGAGAATCAAACTAAATAAATTAGTAGCACATAACAAATCAGTTGGTACCATCAATTTCTCGCACCATCAAGTCTAACCTCAGAAGTAAACTTTTTCTTTAATCAAATATTAATTAAGGTAATTTAATAATTCAACCAGTACATAATTTTCTGAATTATAATTTAAGCAGATATTTACAAAAAATAAAGATAAAAATATTTATACACAAGTAAAATTATATAAAAAGAAAAAATATGTAAAACTCACTTGTAAAGCCTTCATAGCTCTCCCAGCAGACCATTTATTAGTATAATTAACAAATGCACAATATTTTTCTCGTAAAACACGTAAACTAATAACGTCTCCAAATCTGTAATGAATGAAATAAATAATTTTATTTCATTTTTTATCATCATATTTAAATGTAAGTGATATAGCTCTTACTTTGTGAACAAATTAATCAACATTTTATCTGTAACATCCTGGCGCACGTTTCCAACCCATATTGTCGTGTGGCCTTCAGGATTTCTTGGACTGAAAAAGTATTTGATCGTTGAAAGTAAATTATTTGAGAACAAAACTGGTTATATTATAAATTACAGATTTATTAGAATAAACAGATATTAAAGATAAAATATTGTGAATATACTACAACATATAATGTGTACAAGTTTAGTTACTCAATTGTCATATACTGTATTTACTCAAATTTAAGATTCACTTTTTTCAGATTTTAGCATCTTAGATTGGATATAATTTGTCTTAATTAGTAACCTCTAGAGTCATGCATCTTATTTCTCTATCATTAATTCCATTGTATCATTTTAGTGATTTTATTAGACAAATATTAGTAATAGAGAATATTTAAGGGGTCAACTTAGCTCAATCTTGTGTCTATTATGTCATAAGTACTTGGATGAAAATTCCAGAAAAAGTTGTGTGGACTCCTTCAAGAAATGTTATATTTCCAATGTTTTAGACAGAATGTTATGACTGCATGTGGGAAGATGCAAATGAGCCTAACACAGCAACTGAAGAGCTTTCCAATTTCAATACAATAGAAAACAGTGATATATAACTTGCTTTATTTGCAGTGAAAATTTCTGTTGACATAAATTTGTCTAGAGTTATCTTATATCAAGTCATGAGACTGATGCAATTCTTGAATATTTTCCTTATCTATACTCCTAGATCCAATATAATTTCTTCTATTGTACCACTAATTTCGGAGTCAAATCCTTCAAAATCATTTGCACATTCAAGAATAAGTTTTTGCTGAACAGCTCTCATATCAATTAACATAACTTCTTTCCATGCTTCATTAATGTTTTGAAGAGCATTTTTATGCTAGAATTTTCACAAAAATCTATCAAAGATTCTTGTTTTTCAATTGCCTTGCTAAGTCTTACATAGGTTATGTGGATAATATACTTTAAATATTGAAAACACCTCTGGTCCACAGGCTGGAATCACAAAACTGTACTGATTGACAAAATTTTAAATTGAAGATTTATGTAGCAAAATAAATTGCAAACTTTTTCGGTGCTACCAGTTGAAATTTAATCTCAATCAGGAAATTTTGATCGAAGGGATTCAAAACATATTGGGTGCATGCCCAGCACTTTTTGAAAAGCTGTCAATGAAAAAATGTTACAGACAGAAATTTCAAAAATTTATTGAATAACTACTCAGGAATTCACAGTAACTCTCATTACATTGCAAATAAGCATTGTAAAAACCCTTTGTCTTGGTATGGTTGCAAAAGAAATGATGTTTGGGTTCTGCATGCATTAAGTGAAAAACAAACTGGATTGAATGCCAAAAACATATCACATCATGAAATCATTAAAAAACAAGAACCCAACATTTCATACTTTGAACTTAGAAATTCTAATTAAAACAGTCATTTGTCACAAAAAAGCTACAAAATCTCAAAGTTTTGAAGAAATATTCAGGATTTTAGAACATAATCAGTACCTGTAATAATTTGAGAACCTTATTAATTGAAACTGCGATAGCCAGGGTTTCCCTACATATACGTAGTACGATCCAAAAGTTTGGGGACTTGGCTTAAAATTCCTTACCTTAAAAAGATTATATTGCCGATGCATAACCAACCATCTTTAAAGTAATCATCTTGGGCAACAATACACTTTTGCCAGCACTCGTATAACTTCTGGAAGTACCGCTGGAAGCCATTTTTTGAAACCTTCCGTAAGGCCTCCTTCGGTGCTGCTCTCACCTCATCTGATGACACAAAACAGCGTCCCTGCAAATGCTTTTTCATTGATGGAAACAAATAAAAATCTCACGGGGCTAAGTCCGGTGAAAAGGCGGGGTGTGGAAGCACATTAATTTGAGTTGTCATGCAGAAGGTACCAGTCTCCACTTTGCCAGATCTGTGGCCATTTACGACAAATGAATTTGCTCAAATGACATAAAATGTCTAGATAATGCTCCTTGTTTGCTGTTTTGCCTTCGGGAATAAATTGTAAATGAACAATTCCTTGAGAATCAAAAAAAAAACACCTTTATCATGACCTTTCCTTTGCTCGGTGCATGTTAAGATTTTCTGTTAAAATATGCTGGCAACTAGTCTCTGATAAGTGAGTAGCTGCAGAAATTTTTTCAAGGGTTTGGCGACAATCTTTGAGAACATATTGAGAGACCAACTCAACATTTTCCTTGTTCTGTGAAGTCGAAGAACGTTCATCGTCTGCGATGGATTCTCAGCCCTCTTTAAAACGCCGATGCCATTTGTACAGCTTTGATTTCGCCATGGTAAAATCACTGTAACCTTTCTTAGCAATTTTAAAGTCTCCATAGGTGTTTTACTTAAACGCTGACAAAATTTAATGTTGCAGAACTGTTCTTGAAGCGTCATTTTTATTACGTTGCAAAAGAAAGGTAACTATCTCTGAAAGAAAACAACAGCGCTCGCAGTTTAATCATGTGACATGGGCGAAATCAACCTGAACACATAGGAAAGGTTTNATATATATATATATTATTTTGAAAACAAAGCTCATTTACAACTAATTTATTCATTACTAAGCTGACTAAAGCTTTCTTTCCATTTTTTAGTGCCAAAAATTCGCATTCTGAAATATCTGAAAGGTATTTATTCATATTACAACAACAAATTCTTGCTGTCTGTATCATCTAGACGGCCTTACTCTGTCTCTCTCCTGAAGCAGCTCTTAATTTCATTACAGTACTTGTATATCCTTATATACATATAAACTAGCTTACGTGTGTTTATTGTGATTTCAAATATACGTATAAAATTAACACACAACAACTATAAGGATCATTATTTACTGTACTTGGCATAAACCACGCGAATTATTCATAAAATGATAAGCAAACAACCGAATTATAAACGATAATATTTCACCACTCCCGACATCTTTGTTTCGCTTTGCAAAACTCGGAACGAAGATTAAATTCCAGTGATAAAGAAGCACAAATCCAGAACTACTAAAGTTATAAACAACATATAACTTTATTACTATTTTCAAGTATATCATAATAAAATTAAATTTATAAAAGAGACTAAACTTACAGCTAAAGCGAGAGAAACAAAAATTGTACTTACACCAAAATTCAAGTATTTTTTTGAAAAAAAAAAAAAAAACAAATGATAAATGCAACTTTGTATCTTACATACCATTGAGAAAATAGCGGTAGATATTTGTATAAATATTTTGTTTGTGTGAAATCTTTAGGGCACATTCGGATCGACCACAGGAAAATTTGTTACGAGTGAGAAAGAGCGAAAAGAATAAGAAAATCTGAGTAGCAAAACTTGTCTGTACAGTCATTCAATGTTCATCTTGACCGATAAATCATTAAAATAAATAAATAAAAATAAAATTCCAGGCAGAAAGCGCGTACAGAACAAAACAAAGGACTTTTGCCACGTGAAGTTATCCGGACACGTCACCAACCGAAATTGTTTATATTTTTTTTATAATTATTTTAAAATATTTTAAGTAATGTTGAACTTTTGGAAACGTTTAAAACAATAACATGCGATAAAATTGGATATTTTTTGAATCCCAAAATATGGAGACGAAGTCCGAACAAAAGAAAACAAAAAAAAAAAACGACAAAAACGTTTGGCTTGGTACAAAATTTTTCAAATAGTATTTTGTTGGGTTTATAAATTTTTTTTATAATCTAAAATATGGAAAATATATTATTTTTTATCGTGCCAGGCTTTTTTATCTATTCCTTTGTTCTGTTTTATATGATGGTAGAGACATTTGTCACCGTAAACGCAACCCGTGGTTCTCCAAAAATAGCATTCGTTTCCGTTGACTGGTCCACTTACTTTGCTCGTTAGGGGTGCTTTCGTAATAACAGGCTTGTCACTGTAAAATAAAAAAAGAACAGAATATAATCGGCGCTTTAACGGCTCTTATATCTTCGATACGGTAAAACCCCGATTTAACGAACAAAATTTCCGTTTAGTATGTCATATGTAAAAATCACACCCTGTTAATTTTAGAAAACTTTTCTGTGCAATTAAACTTCTCGTACGTAAGTAAAACACAAACTAATCTGCCAATTTTTTAACACGCGCCTTCGAAAAAAAGAAAATACATCATTATAAAACGGAGTTCCGGCTTTAATCGACACCCCTAGCTGCAATTAGTCCGTTAAATCGAAGTATTACCGTACAAGAGTAATGCTGCACTAAAATAAAATGTTTTTAAGTATTGTTAAAGACAATGACATCGAAAGAAGAAGATAAAGATTTCTTTTCTGCTCTCGTTTGTAATTTCTCTCAAATTTTACGGTCTATGCCAAAAATAAATGTAGCAACAATTGTCAACACAAAGGAATTAGCATATTAAGGCTATACAGCTGGTCAAAATTTCCTTTTAGTCACGAACCCATTCGACAATGGAAAGTATAGACGAGTGATTGCAAACGGTATTGCTATAACAATCACACCTTCTGATAGATCCCCACAGTGACAGACTAATCCTTACCACACAATTACCCCGCTAGCGCAGTTGGCAGGGGTTGGTCTCCTGCGACAGTGCAATGTATGGAATATTTATTGTATAGAGATTAAATGAGAGAATAGAAAACAAATACTTGGCTCTCTGTTTGTCTGTGCATTTTTGAAGGGTTGGTCCCTTCAAAAATGCACAGACCTGTTAGAAACCAGATAATTGTCGACCGAAAAACAAGCTCAATAATACAACTAGCACGAACAGTAAAATTCGAGCTTCTAGTCAATGAAAGATTCAAGTAATTGAGACTAGATCTTCTAAATGGAAGCTTTGAACTGCCCAAATAATGCATTTATTAAATTAAAAAGTTCAAGTTTCTATAATAGATAGTGCAAATTCAATGGTATATTCATAGAGTAGAAATTCCTTATTGTATTTGGGATTAGCATGTACTGACAATAATGAATGATAACATTAAGCAGTGCTTCTTTTAATTCGCTAATTAAAAATTTAATAAATAAATACTTTAACATTATTTAATTAAAATTGAGTTCTTTTATCTTCAAGAAATAAAAAAAAAAAAATTAAATGACAGAATAAGATTGTAAGATATGTTCCTCTTAATGTAAATAATCCATTATTTAATTGTTTACGAGAATATTGAAATCATTGATTAAACAACAATAAAAAATAATGTTTGATAATGTAGCTTTATCTAATGGATTTGATGGAATAATTCATAATAAATTCTGATTGACATCAATTTTACCTAATGTAAAACTGCGTGGAAGAGAAATAAAAGCAAAATACAAAGTAAAACAACCAAGAAAAAAAATCACAAAGACAAAGCAAATAGGAGCAGAAAGTGTCATTGTCTTAATACAATGAAAACAATTAATTGTAATTAATTTTGTTATAAAAATAAAACTATTATTATTTTATCTACTTATTAGGTAAGAATTAAATAAGATTTATTTATTATATTATTATTAACAAATTTATATTTAAATAAAGAGAAATAACATTCTAATATTCACCATCCCAGTTATTATTTTTTAAATACTTTTAAAGTAGAAAGAAAGACCAAAAAGGAAACAAGATATATTTTATGATAGCGCAGAAGAAACATGGGAATATTTTAAACTAAGAATGATTGGTACTTATATGCTATTCTTATTTTTAAAAGAAATCTAATGTAGATAAGAACAAAAACATTGATATTTCAAGATACACTTACTTTATTAAAATATAACAGGTTATGACATGCTAGAAAAGAAAAAAATAATTAAAGAAACGTCAGAAATATTGTTAGAAATATATTAAATTTTATTTTAAAAAATNAAATATGAAATTATATTTTAACACAGTCCTATAATATAGTATAGTACATTCATTCATCTATGGTATGTATGTATATGCACTGTACTGTACACAGCACAATTTTAGTAATCTTGCCATTTACTAGTTTGGTAACCCAACACTAGTTGACTCTCAGATTTTGTTGGCACAATTGCCAAGTTGTAGACAAGTTTCCTGTTAGTTCAAAACTTCAGTTTCCACTAACTTTGAACATCTTGCTACTATATGATATCAAGCCCAAGCTTTAGGTATGATAATCAATCAATCAATCGTTTATTAATATACTGTACATTTTACATGCTTGGTATCGCAAAAAGCACAACCAAGATACAATACAGTTAAGATATGACAAACTAGAGTGGATATAACATCGAGATAATACATAAATCAGGTAATAGTGGGCAGTAATACATAAGATAGATAAAATACTTAAGATACATGAAGGATACATAAAACATGAAATGAACTACTAATAATAAAACACCATACAAAGTAGTAGTAAAAAATATATACATAAAACTATGCAGGATTTGATTGCAGTGATTACTAGGGTAAATATTACAGCAAAGGTACACAAATTGAGTTATAATAAATAGTTAAGCATGAAATAGGTAAAATACAAAAGATACATAGAAAACAAATTGAGTTGATAATAATACACTATGCAAAATAGTAGAAATGATATAAAAGTTAAAATATATAATGATTGTACAGGACATGTATTGTGTCACAAGTCCAAGGAGAGAAGGTTATTGAGAGTAGGGACTTATCACAGGAGACAGTTTGCAAAATTTTTTAGCCATCCTGGAGAAGGCAAGATATATCTCTTCATTGCTGAGAAGATCTGAAGGACAACATGAAATCCCATGGGCATTTAAAAGAAGTTTTATTTCCAAACGTTCCTCTTTAAGAATAATACAGTCGAAAATGTAGTGTATGCTGCTGTCCTCCACCTGGCAGGCAGGACAGAGATGAGAAGGATGATTAGTGAGACATGACAGGTAAGTGCCAAATTTGCCATGACCTGTGAGGAAGTAGTGAAGTATGATCGTGATTGCGTCATGAAGTAGTTAGGTGTGAACCAGTCAAGTTTGAAAAAGTCATTAAGGTTTGGAATAAAACTGTGCGTGATGCAGCTATTTTTTCATTCCAGATATCCTGCCAGGTGGAAAGAGTATCCTTCCAAAGGAACTGACATAACATGTGTTTGATGGCTTTGTTGTAGATTATAGGAATTGAGACATCCCCAACCATAGATTGGTTGGGATGCCAAGAGGTTGGCATGCTCATTGCCAGGAGTGTCCAGGTGAGCATGAGTCCAAGTGACTGATATGGTATTGCTGGTGTTGTTGATGATATTCCTGATTTTGATAGCAATCAGGTGGAAGTTTGTACTATTAATAACACGGTTGGCAGATAAGCTGTCAGTAATGATATGGATATGGCTGAGAGAATAATTGTTAGTAGACCAAAGGAAGCCCATCTTTATAGAAAGTAATTTGGGTTGAAAGATGGTGCATATGTTGCTAAGGTGGTATTTTTTGAAGTGAGTTTCCTCCCCATTAATAAAGACAACAAAACCACAGGCAACTGAGTTTTGAATTTTAGATCTATTGGTGAAGATCTCCATGTCAGGAATTTGAGGGAAGTTGCCATCCAGGCAGTAAAATTCATTATCAAGTAACGAAGTATCCAAAAACAGATAAGGGCTCTCATAATTGTTGACGTTAATCCCTCCAGCGCTGGTGTTAATTTCTTCACCTCATTTAATATTTTGAATTTTTCTGTTAAATTGGATTATGAGGTCAATGGCAAGCTTTTTGGTGATAACTTGAATGCTAAGGTTGCACACAGTCCAGAAGCATTTGGTGAAGAGAGTGAGTTCTCAATGTTGTGATGAGATGAGCTTCCTTTTAATATGGACTTTATTGGACGCCCAGCCCCAGCTGCCACAGGTATAGGTCACCACTGGGATGTAAATATGGTCATAAATAGTGCTCATAGCACCCAAAGAAAGGCCCCATGTTTTCTTGGCTACCTGGGCAAAGGTCTGCATATTTAGGCCAGTGCATTTTGTGATGGCCTCAACATGTGCATCCCAGGAGAGGATGATCCAGGACAACCCCCAGGTATTTAAGGCTTTTCTCAATTTTGATGGTTTTGCTGTCCATCTTAATGTGTGGTACCCTTCGGTATAAATTTGGTTGTCCTTATTTGTTGAAGACTATCCCTTTGGTCTTTAGAGGACTGAAATTGAGTTTATGTTTTATGCCTCAGCAGTGAATTTCTTGAGCAGGTGGTTGCCATTGTGCTTGAGGACAGCCCTAGAGCAGTCCCCCACCAGGACCAGGACATCATCGGCATAGGCTATCAGCCTATTCTGTCCGAAGTTCTCCTGTAGAAATGCATTGAACGTGATGTTCCAGAGTAGTGGCCCACACACTGAACCTTGTGGACACCCTTTGGTGATCGTTTTATGGGCATTGTGTTAGTCCTTGTGTAATATGGCAAATCTGTTATTCAAATAGTCCTTCATAATAATTATAGTATAGGTTAGAGGGACAACATAAGGTCCTGAGTTGTTTTAGAATGAAGGGCCACCAGGCGCTGTCGAAAGCCTTGGAGATGTCCAAGCTGACCACGAGCACATATTTGTGGTCATTCAATAAATTACAAATGGTATCAATAGCAATGTGAATTGCATCTTCAGCTGATTTTCCTGGAGGAGGAGATTGTTCTAAAGGTACCAGGATATTTGATTGTTGATCAGATGTTAAAGAATCTTTCCAAGTACAGGCAAGAGAGAGACTAGCAGAAATCTTTATGGTTGCCTGGTTTAGGTACCAGGACAATCTTGGCCACTTTCCAGGGATCAGGGAAAATACTATGCTTTAAGCATTGTACATGCCAAGGAGAAAGTCAGGGATAATCCCCAGAGGCAGAGAGCAATGTTGTTAGTTATATCATCAGGGCCGGGAGACTTCCCCCTCTTTAGTCCTGCATCGTCAACTTCCCTCTTTACATCGTCAACTTCCCTGGTGGTAAAGGGAGGAGTGTTTTCCATTAGGAGAGGTTGGTTGATTTCCAGGTATGACACTAAAGATTCTTAGGATCATCATTGTATGCTGCTGAAAAAAGGCACAGTATCTTATAATACAATAATGTATAAATATAAAATTCAGCCCCTGAAACAATTTCACACAAAAAATACTGTACCTCCCACTAATCTTCCATGCTTCAATTTCCCATTAAATTTGGTAGAAAACCACCAACTTGGCAACACTGATTTCTGACAATGGCAGCATGCTTAGATCACAAAATAGCAAAAGACAATTGAAAATTATTTTAAAAGGGTTGGAAATTAATTTGAGAACTCTAAATACAGTAAGATATGATTTCTCTTCTTTCATAATTTCTTGTTATTCTGTGTTTTTGATTAATACAATGTATTAATACCATACAAATAAACAAATGCCTTTTTTCTAAAAAATTTTCCATTGAATTCACCTTATTTCCAATAATCTGGCAATCTCCTTAATCTTACTCCATTCCAGTCGCATGTATGTCAGATTACCAAGATTGTACTGTACAGTACACACATACAGATATTTATAAATTATCCAATATAGATACATCCTAATTTTTAATGAATTCTTTAAATTTTAACGATTTTTAAAAGTTTTTCCACAAAAAAATAATGCAACTTAACTATCATTGAATTAGCATTATATCCAATTAAATATAATTTGATGAGTAAGCTCGATAATTATATTACTGATATTTTGTGTATTCAAAAAGCTCCTTGATTTTAACTTATAAAAGTGGTTATAATCAGAAAATAAATATACTAATATTTGTTCTTTTAATTTTGCTAATATTTTTTTCTTACATACTTAAATGTTTTAACACATAACTGACAAATGCATACAACAAATGGACCATAGGAATGGATCTGATTTGTGAATCAATAAGGATTTATATAAAACAAAAAATTATAATGTCAAAATATACAATGTGTCTTATAAGTCTGGAACCATAAGAATTATGCTAGTATTCGTTTAATCTTTTACAAGTATGGCACTGAATAAGAATGAATGAATTCAAGTAATTTTGGTCATGGGAGTCCACAGTGAAAAGTTGCCAAATATGCCTGATAGGTTTAATAGGATATATCCAGACTTTTCACTAATCATATACATCAGTTTGGATGTTTTACTTTAAAAGAATAAACAAAGACAAACATGATTCCTATGATTCCAGACTTATTGGATACCCTGTATATAAATTATCTGTTTACATTCAAACTTGATTTAAAAATTTATATCTGTTTTGTAATTAACTTTTTAAGGAAATACTGAAAAACAAAATATTTCATAACATCAGACAGCCTCTTATATACTTACATTCTGTACATCATTATTTTGCCTTATATTATTACAAAAATTATCTTCATTTACAAGTTTTTGCATTGAGATATTTCTCTTACTTTTACTAGCAGCAACAGCCACAAAAGCACTATTAGGATCAATACCCTAAAGAAAAATTGAAGAAATTTATTTATTTTTCATTAAATTATTTAATAATAATAAATTATTTCATAAATAAAAAATATTATACAAGTATCTATTTTGGAATCACTTAGATAAATATGAAATTCACAACAAAGTAGAATTCAGATATAATTATAAGTCACCACAATGTTAATATTATCATGATATAATGCTTTTTTGTTACTGTGTTTAATGAATAATTATATATACTAATATGAAATAAACTTACATTTTTGAATCCTTTACAAGCAGACTGATTATTATTATTTTTATTTTTATTTTCTTTGCCCTTTTTACAAGTTTCAGAATTTAAAAAACTATATCTATCTTGCTTTAATGGTGAAGGAAAAATGTTCTGTTTACAGTTCTTTTTCTGTAAATGTGTTGCAGTCGCTAATTTTTTACTCTTATTGGCTGCAACTGCAACAAAAGCACTGTTTGGATCTATACTCTAAAATAATGTAAGTAAATAAATCTTAATAAATTAAATCATCATAAATTATTTTTTACAATATATGCAAATAAAAATTTTTCACCTCTCCTTCAGTATCAGAACAACTACTATTTGGTACACTGGAAAAAATTAAATTTTTAAATTTTTTTCTCCAACCAGTTGAATATATTTATATATATATATTAAAATTTAAACTATAAGAAATTTTAAAATATTCCATATTAGCACTTAAAAAAAATTGACTCCATAACCAGCAAATTATGTAATGTACAAGTCAGATATAAACATCCATAGTTTTTAGTTCATCAGAAATGTAACTGAATCATTCCAGTTTATCAACAACTAATTTTAAAACAATGTAATTTGAATAAGTTAAATTAATTAAAGGCTAATTTTTAAAGCAGAATTTCTTCATTAAATAAAAGTTGATTGATAAATAAAACTAAGGTACAGTACATCCCATAATTAGAAAGGTATCTACTTAAAAATTTTAAGTATTATTCATAATTGTTTTTTTAGAAATGAAAATGATTTATATATTTTTATTTCAGACATTTTCTGAACATTTAATTAAAATGCCTCAATGTCCTTTTTTTTTTTACTAAAATATAAATTTTCATCTATAATAACGTATTTTCTATTTTGTCAGTCAAATTTGAATGTC